AAGTGTGGATGTATCGTTACAGAATACGCCAATAATTCTGCTGCCACATCGGAGGACAATAGCAGACCTCCACTAGCTAGTCCTCCAGCCAGCAAAAGTAGCTGTGCTCCGAAAAGTCCAAGCAAGAAGTACAGTCCCAAGCGAGCTATTGGCTACGGATTACAGAAGTTCCGCACACTCATTGGCAGCTGGGAGACCGAGCCCCACCAATAGTAGACGCACCGCATAGGATCATCACGCGTCCACCTGCTAAACAAAGAACTTCCTACGGGCGACACATCATTTCCCATAGAACAGAGCCGCTCGAACCGGCGCATTCGGCTAATTCAACGGTTACAATCCACTCCTCGCAAGAGGCGGGGCCTTCTGGGATTGCTAATCCTAGGAAGGATCAAACGACGGCTACAAGCATCGACATAGACGAAGCCAGCGATAGTGTTAGTGCTAGTTATATAATTTTGTAAATCCTAGTAGTACCCAGGCAACTAGACACCGACCGACTATCACAATCACGGCCCCCTTTGGGGGCTTGTTGCGAGAGAGCCTACAGGAAGCGAGACTCAACCAACTTCCTGAGGAGATTAAATCCCTGATTCTGGCTCTTCAGGGTCGCAACGCCTCCGTTCCCCCCACCCCCCGTAGCACGCTTGACAAAAGAGTCCGCGCCTGGCTCTCGCTACCTATTGGGTAGGCTCCGGGAGCCCCCCTCTTAGAGAATATATGTCTGTACTTGACATATCCACGTGATAAGCCAACGGACGTATGTATAGCTGGCAAAACCAGCGCCAGCATAACAACTCGCAACCGAGGGGCTCCCGCACGAAGGGAAGAACTACTAAATCTATACAAGCAGTTCTATCGTATGGCCTTTCGGAGGTAGACGTCGACTCCGACTTTAACGCGTTACGAATCCCAGATCCAAAATGAGATGACGGCATACTTACAAAGGTCCCGCGAAACTCACAAACAAGACATTAGACCATTTCGAACGTTCCATACATGGTCGCATCTTAAATCCCTCCGTTATTGTCACATTATGTTATCACCTCCACTTATCACATATTCCATCGACAGCAACAGACACCACGCCTACGTGCTGGCTTTATTATTCGCAATTTGTAAACCCATCTCAAAATGGGGTACAAATTTACACCCTTTGGGTACATGTATTTACTTCCTGAATAAATCTTGTAAATAACCAAATGCCTCGTCATCTAATTCTTTAGTGACGCGCATGAATGGACTAACAAGATTCCCACCGTCCGTACCCACATGTTTATGGTTGATCTTTGTGAGAATAAGTTGGGTATTTCTTTAAATTATTTTTGATTTTGTGAGAATAGGTTAGGTTTTTCTTTAAATTATGTTTAAGTTTGTGTGATTAGGTTAGGTTTTTCTTTTATTATGTTTAAGTTTGATTTTATGGGAACAAGTTAGGTTTTTCTTTAAATTGTGTTTCAGTTTGATTTTGTGTAATTAAGTTTTTCTTTTATTATGTTTAAGTTTTAATCTTCAAAACTACTGAACTGAAGTACATTAATTTTATATCATTATAAAGGAAATTGAAAGACCTTTAAAATAAGGTATCACTCGAGCCCCCTTTCCATTTAAGATTTTGGGGGTGGTGTCACCCCCACTTAGGGGGCTGCACGTGCTAACGTGATTTTTTGCCAAGCTTGTGTCCCCCTCGAAAACAAAATCTATAGATCTGAGCGTTTTTCAAAAAAAAAATGAGCTGCCAGTAAATGCGTCTGTTTCGTTTTCGATGCGCCACCCTGTATAATACACTTAATTATTGCACTGCTGTTAATCTGATACCCAACACGATTCGGTAGTATATCTTACCCCGAGGCTCCGGCTCCATCTGGTAGGTGGATGGACAGCCATTCCGCCGCCTCAAACAACAAGGCGGAAGCAAGGTCGAACGTCACAACACGTGGCGACACGAGGAGGAACAATACTGGGAATACCTCTCAGCGTATGCAAACGAGGATGGCTGAAAATTTTACCGCAACGGCTTCCAAGAACAATTCTGGAGGTTCGCCATCCCCAACATCACCTCATGGCAGAGGAGGCCGACCGGCCAACAATTGTCCCTGTGGTCGGTCATTTACTACACTCAAAGGCCTCCAAAACCATTTAAGACGATGTCCACAGCCCCCCCCCCCCCGAAAATTCCACAGGGGGCCATCAACACCAACATCACAGACTGGCAACAGTGCAGCTTCTGTGACAGGGCCTTTCAAACCTACCCTGGCATGAGGCTGCACACCAAAAAGGCCCACCCGGTGGAGTATAACCGCCAATTGGCAGAAAACGCACCGCACTCGGAGGCAGAAATCATGATCACGTTAGCGAATATAGAGGCTAACCTGACCCCCGAGCAAAGGTACTTCTTAAAAGACATGGTGGCGGCAACGGGGCTGACAAAACATCAGATCCGTCATCGAAGGGATAAGCCGTTATATAAGGAGTACCTAGCCCTGGCGAAAGAAGAAGCTTGCGCACGACTAGGAGCGCAGACTGCTGCCACAACGGAGGACATGAGCAGACTTCCACAAGCTAGTTCTCCAGTCAGCAAAAGCAACCATGCTCCGAAAAGTCAGAAGCTCAGCCCAAAGCGAGCTATCGGCTATGGACTATGGAAGTTCCGAAAGCTCATTGGTAGCAGGGGTACCGAGGAAGGAGTAGACGCGCCACAGAGGCAAAACTCAACAAATGCCATCTGTGGACCACAGTACGTCTCCACACCTCCATCTGCTGAACGAAGGCTCGCGACGACTTCATAGCGTCGCGGACCAAGTCTGCCAGAAGACAAAGGAGCACCCGCCGGCCAGCTGCGAATAACGCCACAAGACAATGGGGCGAATACAACTACGGCCGTGTCACGCCTATCACCGGTGACAGGTCGGCGGCGTACAACAGCAGTTGGTCCCAATTACGGGGGATGACGTGCTCCGGGCAAAGGCCGACTGGCCTAATAATGCTCCAG